ATACACACACATACTTGTCTCCAGCCTCTTGGTTGCCTCTAATGAGGAGCATGTATTTTGAGCATAGCACCTCAGGCTTTCTAAGACTTCCGGTGTTACAGGAAGACATAATATAAAGTTACAGTCTAGCAAGGGTAATCTCATGACTGGTGTCACACTGCTTCCTTCATGCATTAAAAGATGGTTAGATAACTGCACGTAGGAGGCTTAAGCAAAATACATCTTAAAAAGTCCCTAATGCTACTCAAAGGAAGTCTAAGTAGACAGAAAATAGAAGAAGTTTTGAGAAATCACCTGTTTAGCAAGAAGCATGTTTTTCCAGAATTCCCAACTCTACTTGCAGTGTGAGTTAGGGCTTTGCTTTTCATTCATTTAGGAAGGTTTGGCATGCATGCAGCCTGTGCCTATTCTGGTTATCCATTTATTGAACCTCTAAGGTTACTGTGGGGCATAAGGTCTGTGGCAATATGTCTTTGTTTGGTAATAAGAACCACAATCTTATGTTTATAGACAGTGATAGTCTTGAGATAACTTCCTTTCAAATCCCCTGAAGCCTGATTTGAAGTTGTTCAGTTGTTATTTCTTGCACAAGTGCGTTATTTACTGATATTTTTGTGTTCCTTGTCATCTGCCTTACAACAGCAAACTCCTCTAGCAGGATAAAAGAAAGGTCTAGTTCTTGTGCCTGGATTTTTACACAACCCAAACAATTCTCTCTGTTTTGTAAAGGTCATTGAATAACAAAGAGCAAGTAATTAAAAAAAAAAAAAAAAAAGGGAACTACAGGATATGATTCATAAAAATCCCACGTCTCCTCTATATGCTCATACTGTCTTCTGTGAAAAAATAAATAAATGTTTTTGTTCTTTAGCAATGTTCCACATGCCAGAGAACAAGCAAGCTCAAACAATGAGCTAAAATTAGAAGAGGCAGATTCAGCATCTAAAGTCACAAGTACACACACACTTACTTTATGGTGTGAAGGCATCTGGAAGAAATATAGTCACATGGACTGCCTGGGTGCTGGCATTAGGACTGCTCAGGAGACTCTTCTATCAGCTACATTTTTTTTTTTTTTTGTAGTTGCTCAAAAAACTTTTAATCCTGTCTGTGAAAAGAGGCAAAAACTTGCTTGCTTTTGTGGCTGTTGTGAAGATGAAACTCTAAGTGTTTATAAGGGTCTTGGGTTTTCATGATGAGTGCCACTGTAATAAAAAGACCTGTATAATTTACTCAGTTTTACAAAGTACTAAAATAAAATAGTAATACAGTTCAGGATATTCTGCTGTTCAGAATATGTCTAATTCCTATTTAAAAGAAAGAGGAAGAGACCTGGTGTACAGTAGTACTTAGCATTCCTCAGCACTTCAATACTAATCTCAATATTTTTTTCTTTTCCTGCATAGTTTTCTCCTAACTGGAAAAATAAAAATGCCCATGCAGAAAAATACTTGTTAGCCACCATCAATCCTTTTTAGATCCTCTCAGCTCAATTGATAAAACACTTATTTTCCAATGAGATTCATGATCAATCACACCAAGAAAAAGAAACATCTGCATGAGAGCCCAAGGAAACATGGCTTGTGGCTAGTACCACTGCTTCTATGTTGGGCCATCAATTAGTAATCAGAGACAGTGTTACATGCACCTACACTGGAGGAAAGGAGAGCAACCATGGGTACATGATTGTCCACGTGTGGTTAGCATTACAAAGAGGGCTCAGGAGGGGCTGACACCACTCCAGATCTACATCCCCATTGCAGATACTGACTCTAATGAAAGCAGCATTGTAGGTCAATGAAGATGGAGTAGTTTTTCATGATCTGATGTTCCTGGATATTCCAAAAATGTCATGGCAAAGCAATACTATACTGTGATGTTATTACTCATGAAATATTGTGCTGGACATTTTAAAGGATAATTGGAGTCCACATAATTTAAAGATTTTTTCCTCTTTTTTTTCTTTCTTTTTTTTTTTCTATTTTTTCCTATCTCTCTTTTTTTGTTTTGTTTTGTTTTGTTTATAAATGGTGTCACAGCTGTTCTAAAGATTGTTCTTAAGATACATACTCAACTTTCAGTACAAACCCAAACACCCACTGCAGGCAATAGCTCAAAGGGAGATGGAACCAGTTCCTACTGGCTGAGGCAACAAACAGATTTGTTCTATGTCAGCTCTAGTGAGAGCCGATATACTTTTGCATTTTGTTTAACATCATAAATATTTATGCAAAATGGTTATGAAGGAAGGATGAGAGATAGCTGAGACTGAGAGAAATCCATTACAGAATACATTTGAGTTTTGTTTACTAGGAATCAGTTGTGATGTTTCCTGCCACACCTGGTAGCTAGAACAGGAAATCATCTAATTTAGCTCTGCTCATAGACTAAATTAACTATAACAAGTCTAGATTAACTCTAGATGTTCCAGAAAGATGCCCAAAAACTATATTAACTGTAACACTGAGAAAAACGATAGACTTTTACTGGTTGTGTTACCCTACACATACATTGGAGAGTTAGATTGTGTCTCTCTATATTCATCAAAGCTAAGATCAGGTACTGTGAATATGGAAAGTGAACCTGTAGTGAATTGAAGGAACATACATTTGTAATGTATATTTTAACCTGGATTGACTGATTGATTGATTGGTGAATATGTGTTTTCGTAACTTTAGCACAGGCTAATATTTAATTAGAAGACAGTCAAAAGCCAACATGTTCAAATGATATAATGAAGTTAATGATGTAATATGATGTTGACTATAATTTAAACGTATCACAAACGAAGAAATTTGGGATCTTACCAGCAATGTTCTATTTGGCTATTAATAACCTACGAAAACATTAATGTGGCAGCCATAATGGGAATTTTTCAGTGACATGTGGATAGAGAAGCCCAGCTTGAAGCAGCATACAAGCTAAGAGCTGTAAATAAGCTAAAGTTTGCACAAAATCTTGGATCCATATCTTTACTCAAATTCTGTTAAAGTACAGAACTTCACTTGCGGTTTTCACTGAACCTGCTCCCATTTATAGGCAAACCCAGGGAAACTCCTTCATTTCCAAGAGCCCAGGAGGGGTGTATGAATGAAGTGTTGTACCCAGTGCACTGTGGTAACAAAAAGAAAAATAAAAGCCTTCTCTGATTCTTATTATTCTTATTATTCTTATTATTCTTATTCTTATTCTTATTCTTATTCTTATTCTTATTCTTATTCTTATTCTTATTCTTATTCTTATTCTTATTCTTATTATTCTTATTATTCTTATTCTTATTCTTATTCTTATTCTTATTCTTATTCTTATTCTTATTCTTATTCTTATTATTATTAAATAATAAATTTTATTATTAAATTAAATTATATTAAATATTAATAAATATTATTAATAATAAAATAATAAATTAATTATATAATAATAATAATAATAATAATAATAATAATAATAATAATAATAATAACAATAATAATAATAATAATAATAATCTCAATACCATTCTGAATCCACAATTTTGACATCATCTTTCTCTCATTTGGATGGGAAAAGGCAGAAATAAAGAAGAAAAGTAATGGTTCAACACATCCATCCAGCTTTTATAGATTTAGCCTTTCTGACAAGGAGCCATCCAACTCATGCTACTCCTTTCAGAGCTGCCAGTGGAAAGAAATTTTTCCCAGGGAGGAGGATCTCCAGGGGAAGCAGTGAAAAAGCATGGGAGAAGGAATCTGGAAGAATTCACTCCCACCCACCTACAGGAGATTCCTAGAAGCATTGTTACTCTGAAGGTTTCCAAAAACCCTTCTCAAACGCAGGGTCATATCTGTGGCAGGTTGATTTTAAAGCAGAAATAGCGTCTATCTGAAACCTCTCACAAGGCTGGAATGTTAGAAGTAGTCCCAGGAGAGGTGGTTTAATGTACAAAATGCAGGTGAGGCAGCCAGAAAGACATGATGAATGCAATTTATCAAGGGCTCTGCAATTTATCACAATGGTATCGCAGGAAGCAAGCAAAGCAGAGAAGCAGATAGATAGACTGGACAGATTAAGCTCCTTTGGGCATGGAACTTCTTTGAAATATGCCAAGGAAATTGCATGCTACAAGTCCAAATTTTCAAACAGTATTTTATTGATTGGAATAGAGAGATGGCTTTCTGGGGCTGGAGTCCTTTTCCCCAGAAAGGAAAAAGATGCATTATTCTGAAGAATGAATGTAAGCTAAAATAGTAGGATTCTGCTTTGCTTCATTTTGTCTTTAATCCACCTCTGAATATGTGAATATCCACTCTGGATATGTGCCAGGAGGTAGGGATTTGCATTGTGCAAATCCAGTGCTTGTACTTCCAGCTACCCTTCTGCCTGCTTGATTTTCAAATTTGGGTGCATGAAGCTCCACGTACAGGAGCAATTTCAGAGGCCTAAACCAGTGAGTTACTTTTGATGCTGTGCAAGTGATCAAAGCATGCTCACAGCAAGCACAGCCCTTCCTTACTCACTGCTTTCGTGGAGTACCTTTCTAAAACCAGTTCTGTTGTATCCATATAACTCCAAGTTTTACAGCAGTGGAGCTGGCGTGATACCATGGTCCAGAGCATTGCTGCAGCATGCTGCGTATTCCCCACCTCCCACAAAGTAGGGGCCTTATGGCTTTCAAAACAGGGCATGTACTATTTAAATTGCTTCACTGGGAGGAGAATTATGTGTTCTGCAGCGCCTCAGGACAATGAGCCAAAGGAACTATAGAATATGAGCTTGGTGTTAAAGCCATAGCTCTGCAATGCTCTGCTTTGTGTGGGTTTTAGCCTGCTATGTAACATTATTTTTACATTAACATTTGTGGTTCCTTTTTTATGCACTCCAGCTTCACTATGCTCCGCCCTTTATATTTTAACAGTCAGATTCCTATGATCCAACCAGGGTGGCATGTTCAAAGCTCCACTTCTTTTCAGAGCTGATTAAAAAAAAAAAAAAAAAAAAAAAAGCTCAGAGTGTCAAACAAGCTTACTTCAAATAGCTTTTATTCACACTAGGACAAGACTATAGCCAAAGAATTTTACAAAACACAAAACAAAAGAGATTTTTACAACTCAGTTGAAGACTATTTCACGCCAATCCAATGCTCATATATCTATAACTAACAAAGTTTTGGAACACAATATTACTTAATGTTACTCATTGGATACTTTCAGATACAAAAATGTATCAGGAATAATAACAATAATCCACAGGTTCCTCTTACTTTTACAGAAATATTACTATTGACCTTTAAAAATTTTGCCCTTTGGACTGGTCCCACTGGTACTTTATCTCTTAGAATCTGATCTGCCTGGAAAGACAAATTACAGATAAACTTCTAGTGCTCTGAGCAAAAGGACTGTTTTTTATCATAGAAACAGATAGCAACATCAATTTTCAAAGAAAAAAAAATAGACATTTCAGCTGTGCATCCCTAGATGGAAAAGTCAGTGTTTTAAAAACCCACAGCAGTAATTTTGCTTTGAAAGCTTTAGTTATGAGTTCACCAGGTATTGCTTTATGCTTTCCTATTGCATCCTAACTTAGAATATTAAGCCAATCATGAAATATAAAATAGCAGTAAATTAAGCAGCAAAAGACATGAGTATGAACTTGTTCCCATAACACATGGTGTATACACCCTTCTGAAGCCCTCAGAAGTCAATAGATAAATATCCACTGGTGCCAGTGCTCTTTCAGACAGACTTTTCTAGAGGCAGAACTGGCACTTCATATTAGAAATAGGGATGTGTAGCAAAGTTCAGATTTGTATCTGCACTTTTTTTGCAGTTTGGGTGTGGACTTAGTGCAAAGTGAAGGCTTCTTCACTGCCTCCTGGACCTTATCTACAGCCTGTTAGAGAACGGTTTGCAGTGGTCTTTGAATAATGGCATCCTATGACTCTGCTGTTGCAAATGTGCCTCTAGCCATTCAGGCAATACCGTCAGGAAGGGGATGATGTGTAGAGATTTTAACACAGAATCACTCTTACTGTGCAGTACCAATGACATTAGTTTCATGCTTCACTTGCCTCTAGACAATCCACACAGGAGCATGTTTTCCTTGTAAACTGCAGCCCAAATCACAGTGCACTAATTAACATCTGAACAGGAGTATCTTTGATTATGTAGAATAATCTATACTTTGCTATAAACTCTCCTAATATACTGAAGCACAGAGCACAGCACTAGAGCAGGATGAAGGATTGTGTATGAGAGTTATAATTAATAGCTGCTGGAATGTCCTCCTTGGTCTTTGCTCTCTGTGGTGTGTTATTTGCTAGAGACTAAAACTGAGCTAGTAACAAGATGTCATGGGACAAAAAACCTTTTGGATCAAGTGAAAATATTACATTGTTAAAATCAAAATGGGTCCCTTTTGAGGTTAGAGAGGAATGCAAGTTTCACAATTTCTTTTTTTAACAATCAGCAAACAGCCAGCTAAATCGTACTCATAAAATACCACTCCAGTTTGGATCTGTCACAAAAATGAAACATTTAATTGCTGCTAGAAGTGACAAAGATAAGCTAATTCCCACACCGAGGGCAGGGGCATCTGTCAGAAAAGGCAAAAGGCTTTTTTCTGGCTATGTGTTACAAGGGCAAATTCAATTATAGGGAAAATCTGAAGCAAGTGACATGACAAAATAGAAGCTTAAATAATAATTAAAAATCAAAACTGCTCAAATTTCAGGATGAAAAGTAGGTAGCAGAAGCTCAATTTTAGATAAATTACTTCCCAGCGGGTTCCCTTCCCCCCGCACAAACACTCTGCATCCCCACACCCTGCCCTGCCACATGCATATTCTTTTTTACTTCCATACTTCCATATGGAGTCTGTAAAGAAAAAAAAAAAAAAAAAAAAAAAAGCACAATGGTTCAGAAAGCTCCACTGTGACCCTTTAAAATACAACAACCATGCAACTGTTACACTCTTGAAAAGGCCGCTATAGAAAAAAACCCTCCCCTTTATCATTCCTGCCATGAACTGTCTGCAAGGGGCTGAATGCTTCTTGGGCAAATGTGAATGCGTGGCATAGACTTCAGGGCAGCACACCTGGCTGTTGCTGTTTAGGACAAAATCTGCGTAGTGAGGTTCATGTCTGTAAGCATATGGGCATGTTTGTGAGACAGGGGGCATTTCCCAAACAGCAAGTGCTTGCTGGGCATCTCCTTGTCCCTGCAAGTTAATAGAAGTTAGCTGCCTCACAGCCACCAGAGCCTTTGGAAAAGTTCCCTCTAATTCTTCATCCCAGACACATTGCCCCAAAAGTGTCCCGCTGTCTGTCTACACAAATTAGTCAGTCTCTACATTCTTGTTCTCTACAGTGTTGGCTGCAGCATAACCTTTCTAATATTTCATCTCTGCTTATGACTCTCAGCTTTTTAGGGAGGCTGCACTTAGATACAACATCAAATCAAACACCACATACTTGAGAGAGGGATTCATTTTGCCACCTTCTTTCAGCTGGCACTTTGTTGTTGACTTGATTATTTAAGATAAGATAAACACCACATATTTAAGATAAACACCATAAAATAAAAAAAAAATATTTTTATTTTCCTTGAATTCACTTGCCTCAAATTAGTTACTTAATTTTCACTGAATGTAAAATTAAGAAGGTACATAACTTAAAAGGGACTCATTCTCTCATCTTTACACTGGCAAAATTCCCATGAACTTTGTTTGGTTGCTAGACATTTTGCCTGAAGAAGGACAATATAATCAAGCATTTCATTGCTGCAGATTATATTAAAGCCAAATAAGTACATACAGAACTACACAGAGAGTCCAGAAATGAAGTGCAAGACTTAGGATTCAGCAGTTTCAAGATTTGCTGTTCCCTTCATTGTTCCCTCTCCAGCCCAGGTAAATGCATTAAGCTATATAAGAATTATTTTTTTTTTTATTGATATTCTGGACCATATCATTTTTTAGTTTTCAGGCTCTATGATGAACTTAAGGACTTAAGAATGCACAACAAATCCAATATGCCATTGGGCTCAATATGCAGCATCTAACCCGAGGGAAGAATATAGGCTGGAGCAAGCATGTCAGGGGTACTTGCTACTGTGGCATTTGTCATTCAGCTGATCACTGGCTTAGGGAAATCTTGATCCAGAGGTGGAGTGCAATCCCTGAAAAGCACGGGTTTGCTGCTAGTGGCCTGGCCTGGTGGTGTTGTGGGACCTGCAGGCCCCATGCTACCAGCACCAGCCTGGAGGACCACCCTGTCTCTGAAGGCTCCCTGACACCTCCTCAGCTTCACTGTCTCCGTGAACACAGGCATCGTCATTTATTCCCACATTATTTACCCATTTCAGATCATTTTTTAGAAGTAATCAAAGCTCAGATGTTGATATTTTGGCAGCTGGCTAGAAATATCTGGGACTTAATTTTCATAAGTGTCAATCTCTTCCGCCTAAGCAGAGGTCCATAGGAGACATGTCTATGGCATTTCTTCAAAAAGAGCTCCTAAGCCTCTGGATTTGAACATTAGAAGCAGAAAAACATGCAGTTCATGCACCTTTCTGAAATTCTTGGATCTGTCGTTGAATCCAGCTAAAAATGGGCATTTTTAAGAGAGTCCATGTGAATATTTCCCTGGAAGTGTGACTGAAATTGCTGGGAGATATTTTAACTGCAATCCATAGGGAGCTATTGATGGTAATAAAAAATACTGTGAGAAGAAAACAGCAGCAAGTGAAACTGCCCTCTCGGAAAGCCCAGGTCTGCTTGGAAGGAAGTGTTGATATTCACCATAAGCCTCAATCATTTCCCAGAGGGCTGTACGGTGCCTTGTAATGACATAATCAAAAAGTAATGGTGTTCTGGACTTAAAAAAAAAAAAACAAAAAAAAGTGCACACACACACAAAAAAACAACAGGTCCTGATCCATCTCCCACCGAAATCAAAGAGCATTTTGCAATTGGCTTCAGTGAGAGCAGAGTTCTGGACACAATCTGTGTGCAGTTTATTTGCACATTTGCTTATCCAAATGATCCTGACTTTAACCAATAGCATGTCTAGTTGTCTGTCTGGGAGTATGCCTGTATAAATGCATAAGTGTGAGTTTATAATGTGGTTTAATTCAAATTATTCTGGAATTTTAAAAGCATTTCCAGCTACAAAGGACATCTTTAGCTGATTTCCACCCCAGAATATAGACTTTAATTGGCAAAGTTTGTCAGTCACATTTCAAGCTGCAATTCATATTCCATTTCATGCAAGCTAAGGACATAGATTTTACATTTGTGGGGTTAATTCTAAAATGATCTTACTGTGCACTCAATTAAAATTTTGCAGCTATTATTTCAAAATGTGAAAAGCTTTACAAATTACCCAACTCATCAGCTATGGTCCTTGGTTTCCTTGAAGGGAAACTTCTTTGAAGACCACAAGTAAATTGCAGTAAATGGCAAGTAAGATTGCCATCACAAGTCTGCTAAAAATATAGGGTGAACTTCTGATTGCTTTAGTCATGTGAACAATCCCTTCAGAACAGCTCAAAGTCAGGCAAGGTGGCTTGCACCAGGAGTTAATTTAGCCGGCTGGGACCCTTTGCATTACTAAAATGAGCATGATTTTGGCTTGTAAATGGCAGGTAAAATTTTATTTTACTTTCTGAGGGGCATGCATCCATTTTAGAGTAAGCCTTTTAGAATAAAAGTTTGCTTTGCGTTATAGGAAATGACATTCCTTTTTTAGATTTCCCTTTTCAAAGCATGCCTCAGATTTCTAACTTGTAGCAGAGAGCTTTTGTATAAGTAATAAAAGTCTTTAAAATTAAAATGCTAATCATAAACAAACCCAAATGCATGAAAGATATAGTCTGACTGCATAACAAAAGAGAATTATATAATTCTATTTGAGTGAAATCTTTCATCTTTGATTTACAGGTTTGAGTCTGCCTATAACTGAAACCATATTGTTCCATATCTTTCATATCATGGCCTTCACCAAAATCTTGTTTTAATTAAGGTTTCTTTCAGATTTCAGAATAAAAAGCATGACAGTCTTCACTTATGGCTTTAATATATACTTTCAGTTTGGAAAATGTATAAAAATGAACATCATTTGATTTTAAAAGCCGAGTGAGTTATCAAATACTGGCTGCAAGCAGAATACTTCAAGGTATCTCAAAGGGTTCATTAGGTGAGAAAGTTGTAAACAAAATAAAAGTTGCTGTAGCACAATTTTGTTCATTTGAAGTCATTTTACATACATGCCCTATCTCTTTCTCTGACGGTAAGGCAACACGTGTAATAGTTTAAGCGTTCATTATCAGCTAAAGGCACAGCTCTATGTTACGTTCACCAACACAAAATTAAACAGCTAATGTCACATTGCAGGGAAAGCTTGCTGCATTTGGGGGATCTAAAATAAAGCCTAAACCCTTGGAAACTTCGTAAGCAAGATCAGCTCTCTCGGTGCAGGACTACATAAAAGAATTAGTCTGTATTCACACGACAACCTGTAAAAACGCTCCCCACACAACCTCCACGGAAACACCTGAGCTCCAAATGAGCTGCACGTAGCCGCTGCTGATTGCTGCTCTCAGAGTCAGGACACAGAAACATTTTGGAACAAACTAAAAACACATTTGGAAAGCCATCCATTTTTCAGAGACTACTTGATCGCTGCTGCACATCTGGTGAGAGCTACTGTCAACTACAGTGGGTATAGCACTTTTTTAAAGACAGAAGGTCGCTCATTTTAGGGAATCATGAATGTGATTTTATGATAGAAAAGGCTACATAAAATGGGGAGATATGTCCGGGAGAAGGGAAAATAAAAAAAAGCACCACCAAGCACAGTACTTTGGGGGATTTATAGTACAATAAGAAGTACTTTCCCTTTAGCTAAAATCCTTCATCTTAGCTTACACACCTTTTACTCGTTCTGCTAAGAACTCATTACAAGGGGTTAAAAAACATCATGTAAAATAATTTTTTTTTCTTCATTACACAAAGCAGAGAAAACAAATTCTATTAACAGTTTAACACAGTATGAAAAAAATTACCCAGTAAAAAGTGTCAGAAAGTGATTCATGGAGTTTACCAAGTATTTTGCTGGCTGTCGCAACTCTCGTATCTATAATCTATCATGTAGAATTTTGTAATACTCTATTTCACAATTCATGTTGGTGAGTGGGTCAAACAGCATATAAAAAGCATGCTCTAGGCTCTTTCTCCCAAGCCTGTTTTACTGTAACTCTAGAATTGTAGCGGTTACATTTAAGGAATCTTTAGGGCCCTTTCAAGTTCATCCAAAGAACAAGTGAAGCTGCTATTCAGAGTTTTGTGCCCAGTGTTTATGTTCCATCTGATCCGTGCCACCCAAGCAGCAGACAAGACATGTCTGAGGGTGCTTTGGGGGGATACACAATGATGTCACCCACAGGAAATATCAGGGAGGACTTGGCACTTCACAAGGCTGGCTCTTCTTCCATGGGCTCGCCAGCAGCTCTGTAAAAATAAACAGGCAATCAGAATACGGCACAAGAGTACACAATGACATTGTAGATTTTCATGCATAATCAAAGCTGATTTTTCAGCTCTCTCTGATGTTTATTTGTGTTATTCAGTTATCCATAAATAGAGTTTCTTTCCTAGGAAGTATAAACAAATGTCAAGTGGAAAAACATTTTAGATCCAAGCAATCACTTAAAATGTTCCTGTTTATATTAAAATATGTCAGAATATTTTATAACTTTTTGTCCAGAAATGTACATGCTTTGTGTCAACAGAATCAAATAATTTTGTGAAAAAAAATGGCTGTGATACTTTTATTTTGCAAGCATCTGCAACTAAAAATACATGCATTTGTTTTTCTAAGTGTGCCCATACCATTCAAACAAAATGGTTCAGTGGTAGCCAAGTAGTTAGCAACATTTCTTGTGGAGTTCCTCAGTCCTCTGACTTTTGATTCTGTGCTTTAATAAATTCCCTGCCTGGCTGCCTGCCTGCCTGCAACTTCTGAGACCAAATTCTAAACCTGATTAACAGATCACTGTCATAGACAAATATCCATTAATAGTATCTCATCATAAGTGCCTTTTATTTGAAAGCCTCTGGGAAACATTCAGCTTAGGCAAGATGAGCTCTAAAACATCCAGTAAGTATCAAATGGGGACATACACCGAGCCGTTGGGAAGTGACATAATTCCTTGTACCTAACAAGCTACTGCAACCAAGGATTATGCTGGTAATTATAAAATGGGGAGCTTTTGAGACCATGGTGAGACCTCACTCTTGAAGGGTGTAAGAATTTTGACACACAGCATTTGTCACCTCAATCTCGCAAGGTACAGTACAGAAATGAGTCTAAGACCTCCTTAAAACTAACCACTTCAAGCAATTCTGAAATGAGGGGAGGGCGAAAAGTAAACACAAATTAATAAATAAATCAGACATTTAACAGTTAAATCTGATAAGCCAGTATAATGATTAGTTTCAGTAAAAAATACCTCAGAAAATACAAGCTCATGAGATCCCATGGGGAGGAGTGGGGAGGGAAGTAATTAATGGGGGCTTGCATGGGCTTTGGTAGTTTATTTAGCAAGGAAGCCAGAGAATTTTAAATTAATCTGGACTTTATTAAAGTCTTTCCCAATGAAAAAATCAGAAGTGTCTCTCTAAATGGCTTTATACAGGTTATTCCTTTATGATTTAGAATGATTACAGCTAGTACACTGAAAAATAAGTTGAATGAGTGCTATATGAAAAAGAGGATTTTCAGACTAATCATTTTCCAAAGGGTTAGTGACCAGAAAAAAAATATTGTTAATCTATAAATCTCTAATCTTTTGTTCCTCTCTATACAGTGGAGACATTTTCATGTCTACAATAATCACTGCAGCTCCCTTGTTTCTGAGTGGGGATGTGAAGCACAATTTCAAGGAAGGTTGCAGCAGGGGCCACTTTGGACAGAGCAAAGCTGGGTGGGAGCGCTGTCCTGCCTATGCACAGATGCAGCAGGGCATCACTCCTCCTCAACAGGCAGTAGAAGCCCAGAAAGATTACCAAAATATGTTTATTGAGACATCTTTAAAAAAATAATAAAAATAATTGCTGTCATTTCATTTTACCTTGCATTGTTCTGGCTTGTGGCAGAGGCAGCACACTGGCAGAGGCAGCACACTAGCAACAAGGTGGGATGGAGCTCAGCCTGCTGCTCAGGTCCTCAGGTATAGTAAAGGAACATGCTCCGTGTACAGACCATGCTTGTTGTATATCACTCCTGTGCTGACTACATGTTCTCACTTTCTCCAGCCACTCTTGGAGGACCTGCTTCTCCTCTGACATAAAGTAAAAGCGCAGTAGGCCCTCTTAAACACTCGGGGACTTATGAGGCTGTCTGAGAAGAGAGCAGTTTGAAAGCAGGTAACAGTTAAGCTTTTATGTTGTGTTGTGAATAAATGAATGGGAAGAAATAGTTTTCAATAGATTTCAATTGGAGATTGGCAGAGTAGGAAGGAATGGAGCTCTGGAAAACTTCTGGAAGTCGAAGTGGATATTTGGGTTATTTGTAAAGAGATAGGGAAGTACATGCAAGTCTGCTCACATGTATTTGGCCTATAGGACTGACATTATCATGAACGTAGCACAACTCGGAGATGATCACATTCATAGTTTTGAGTCCTGGGCAATTTCTCCCTGATGAGGGCACTTCTGAGCACCAGGACTAACCTTGAGTGCTGTGTCCTAGTGTATTCCAACACACTCCAACAACATCCCAATATTCTGCAACAGCCAGAGCCTAGGCACCAGACGAAATATTTATATGCAAGCACAAGATGTTAAGCTCTTTTTGGAAATGGAGAGGATGTTCAGGTGCCTTAGCAAATCCAGCTGCTGCCTCTCAGTGTGAGTATTTTCAACCTTCTCCAGTCTGCTTTGAAGATTTGTGTGTGTGCTTTAACTTCAAATTACTGGTGCAAGAGAAGTCACTGGATCTATCCAACAGCTTATCATTAAAAACATGCATCTTTATGGGATAACAGCTTAGGCCGGAGCTTTGGGAGAGAGCAAGTAAACTTTTAGAGCCCTTTGCACAGAAAGAAAAACACTGAGAGGTGAATCAATATATACCCATTCAGCTGAAATCAAAAGTTTTCCAAAGAATAAAATAAAAAATCGAGGGGGCAGAGTCTGACAGGCCAAATTTATGTTACCTTAATTATGTCATTGTTAGTTATATCAGTTCAGTCTGTCTTCCTGTAGCTGACAAGAAGTTGGCATAAAAACACAAAACAGGCACAAAAATTAACCCATATTGTATGCTCTGACTAATTCCTCAGAAATGTAACTGTGAGCTTGGGTCTGATATGGGCTGATCTGTGGGGTTGGCAGATCCCAAATGGCACAGATTGGGACTGTAATGAATGTAGAATCACAACTGTGATTTTTCATAAAGCTTCATGGTGGCTCACTGAAATTGCAAGTGCCTAGGAGCAGAGCCCTCTTTCATTTGGTCTAATTACTTGGGTATGCCATAAAGGGTGCTCACCTATGCCTCTCTCTATATGCAGTTCACACTCTTGTAGAGTGAAATAGTCTCTTTGTAGTTACTGCTAAAACAAATGATTATATTAAAACAATTGGAGTAGATGAGAGAATCCTGCCATATGGATAAAGTCTGGCTAAACTTGTGACATCTTACGTACTGCTTTGTGGCAGTTGTAAGTAAATGGCAACCATATTATTTAATGTTATTTAAAATAGCTAATATCTGCATTTAAAAAAAAAAAAAGTCAACATTTAAAAACGGATAAATCCTGTAAATCATCCAAAAAAGTAAACATTTCTCTTACCTTATTTTATAAATTGGAATTACAGGGATTCCTCATAGCTACATCATCACACATATAAAAATAAAAAATCAAGGTATGCTTCCAAGTCACAAAAATCACTGAACAGAAGATATATTTTCTGGTGGGGTATGGCTGTTTTATGCCATAATCTGTTCCTAATTTAACTCATCTGTCTCAAGGAAGAGCATTGTAATTGAAAAGTGATCCTCTGGTAGCAAAGAGCTGGGGAAAAAGAGGTACCTTTCTAAACCATGAAGATGACTTGGAGAGTGCCTGAAATCATCATATTAGAGATCCTGGGTAAGTGTATATACTAGTAAAAATTGACTCTGTATGAATCAAAGGAGAGGAGCTAAAAGGAAAAAAAACTTCACGTTTAAGATCACAATAAGGTAAGTACACACAAGCTCTCAAAAGAGGAAGTCATGACTAAATAAGGCAAACAAAGTAGAAACACTGGCAAGTTCAACGTAAACCCACAATGAGGCCAAAAGGAGAATCTGAAGATCAACATGTTAAAGGCATAAAAAGTAATAATAGAAGGATCTTTCAAAATACATCAGAAGAAATGATCAAAGCATAAAAGGAGCATCAAGGAAGGTAAACCACAAGAGCAAAATGAACTATTTATATCTCTGTTCACTAGAGAAGCATCAGGCAGATCTTATTATTTGCAGATGAACTGTCTTAAACTGAATCAGCACTAGAACAAGCTGATATATTAAACATTGCCAAATTGCTAAGAGCAGATGATATTTGTCCACTGAGTTCTAAGGGAATGTAATCATGATGTTTCTATATAAATAATTACTGAGCATATTCCACTGCTTAATTCAGAATCCAGAGAGGGTAGAGATAGAGAAGGTAAGAAATGCAATCCCCATTTTGGAAACTACAGGACATACAGTAAGTCTGTATTGGGGAAATTGATAGCAGCTATAATAAATTACAGAATTAATAGGCATTTAGATAATAGCAATTTGGCTATGAGTTAAGACTTAACTCTTGCAGAGAAGTCAAGCCTCCCAAATTTATTAGAAGTTTCTGAAGGAACTGAAAGAAGAGGAATCAAGTGATACCTCAGCACAAAGAAAGTCTTCCTAAAATTTTATCCAAGTGCTCTGAGGAACTTAGGTTATGAGAGATGGTCCTGACATAGATTAGCAAACCATCAAATGTAGGAAATGGATAATAATACTGGTGAATGTTCATCATGGAAGGATATTCCACAGCATCTGAAGAAGACGTGGCAGAGTACAAGTACATTTAGGTGATAACATTTGTTGATGATGCAGAATTACAGATACTAGACAGACCTAAAGCCCATAGCACCATTTCTGAGTGGAAAAGAAGGTAAACAGATACAAAGTAATACACAAAGCAGGGGGGAGGACAGATTTAATTGTTTATATACTGTGATGGCAATTACTGAGAGCTTAATGAGAGTAGAAGAGAACAACAAACAACAAAAACATGCATCATTAATCTTCCTTATAAATACATAGTATGCCCAACACCTGGTGTCCTGGATGCAGTCCTTACACCATCAAAAAATAAAAGTTGGAATAGAAAAGACATAGATAGGGGCAGGAAGAATGATTAGAAGAAATTACTTTCATACCAGGAGGAATAAAATGTCTTGAGACAGCTAAGTATGGACAAGAATGTAAGGAAAAAATCCTTTGATTTCTCATAACTGGAGAATGTTCAGTGAATTTATCAGGTAATAAGTTTAGAGCAAAGAAAAAGAAGTGTAATGCCTGATGAAGCTGTGGGATTCACTACCTGAACACCAAAACTGCAAGATTGTTGAAAAACACCTTTGAAAAATTTATATCTGGAAGGTATCCTGGGTAGATATCCTGGAAGCTTTTACACAGTATGTGTCAGATACAGCCATCAAGACCTAGCCTAAGCAGGGCAGGGCTGTCTCTCCACATCTCTGTTCCCAGTTCCCTTCCTTAGGCAACCTCCACCGGGGGATGAGAGGAAGGTGGGCAAGATAAGGCTGCAGATCCTCTGACCCCTGAGCCTGGTTGTGATTTCAGATCCTGTGGGGTATGGCCGGGTAGATGCAGGTTCTTCAGCCCAGCTGAAGTGGATACCCAAACAGCAACACGCTAAGCAAAGCTCTGTGAGCTGATGCACAAACACAGAATGTGGCCCTAGGTGGCAGCTAGCTGTACCCCACAATTCAACCAGTCTTACTGCTATAAAATATATTGCAGCATGGCTCAAAATGCAACTGATAGCTCAGTAACAGTGAGAGAAATATCTAAAAATGACACTTTGTTTTCATTTCGATTTGAGTAAAACCTATGCTTGGCTGAACGAAGGCCATAAAGTCAAATCCTGATAAATGTCATTCTTGAGATTTACTGTTTGCTGTAAAAGTAGTAAGTGCCAGAGACCTTCCTCCACACCCTTTTATTTTTCCATTTTAAGAAGAAATGTACAGAAGCTCCAGTGTATCGTGGACAGCATTGTATTGAATATTTTCATAGCAGGGTTTCTGAAACAGATGTCTGGCCAAAGCAAAATTCTAATCAGTTAAATCTATATCTCACTTAGGGAATAAGCAGTTATCAACACACAAAAGTTATGGTAGTTAGAAATGCTTTCTAGGGCACTCTGGTTCCTTTAATTGCATCTGTATTTAAATCTTTGTTAGCATCATGCATGTTTTCTTTCCTATCCACAAAGGCTTTTTTCTATATCTGTTCTCTTCTGAAGTCTGTAATCAAGTTTCAATTGAATCTTAAAATGCAGAGTTGTGCTTTGGTAAAATTAAACACAAAAAGCGTAGCAGCTTTCACAGTTTTCTTCATTTAGCTTGTCAGAGAAAATCAAATTAAAAAAAAAAAAATAATCTGCACTGTTACTTGAAGAAAAGAAAGAAAGAGAGAAGAAAGAAAGGGAAAAACTTAAGAGGGGCCTTAGCCAGGAGCATTTTATCGTTTATTCATCAGTGGTAAATGAGTCAGATACAACTTGGCCAGGAAAAGAGCTGCTTTACCCAAATCTGAGTTTAAAATGAGTCATCTCACTTCAAACACCAATATATCCTCCAACATAACTGGCAAGAGTTTCCCGCAAAGAGAGTTTTGCTGCCACTCTTCATCTGCAGGCCCAATCATCCAAAACTGAAGTCAACAGGATGTCTGTCATTGATTCAATGAAACAGGGACAGAATTATCAGCCTGGCTAGCCATGGTGGCTATTAAGAGAAAGTAAACTGGCTCCTGGCATAATGAAGGAACCTTTCAGGCTGCCCTGTTAGCCATGGCACTTTCTGCTCTGAACTTGCCCTGCCAGCCACAACTAACTTTTCCCCCAAAATACTCAATGCAAAGGCTTTCAATAGATCTTCAGAAACCTACTGCCACCTACAACAGGGAAGAGGGGTGCACTTAAGAGCCCCAAGGGCTCCTCATGTCCCTGCAACCCTGACAGTTGTCATAGAAGGGGGCTAGAGGAGTATCATATTAATTATATCAAATGGAACAAATGTGAAAAATAAAGTTCTGACATCACTATGTTACTCCAGCTTGTGTTGGTATGTGTCTATGAACTGAACAGTATGCTTTTGTTAAATGAATGAAGTTATTCTGGCATGGAACTGTAGTGTGCAATGTCAAATCAATCCCTGGATTTATAGTCCTGTGCTAGAGTTTCATTCATGCTCAAAATGCAGCCAGGTCCCCTCAGGTCTCCCTGCAGCTCTGTGGCCTGCGCCTTTGAAATCAGACTGTCAGGGTGACCCTTTTTGATCCCATATTCCTTTTTACATTCAGCAGGAAGAAAGCCAAGAGAGTGATATCCTGAAGCCTCACAAAACCTAGGTGTCACTTCTGGCTCTGTGAGATAATGCTTATGTTGTGCTGTTGCTCTCTGGCTTTGGGTAACTTTGGGTAACTTAGAGTTATACAAATATGAAAACAGATTCAGGGATACATGCAAGTAAAGATTTATTTGTGCCACTGAAAAACTTCTGCAGCAACAAAGATATTTCAAACGAAGCCATTTTTTCCACAGAACAATTCATCATGATGGCTTCACCCCCATAAGAGCCCAGGACTGATGAAGTGTAATGAATCTGGCAGCCACATGAATTCCACTTGTGTACATTTCAGCACATCCGTTTTTTTTCCATTTCTCTCAGCTCTGCTCTGAAATGCTGTTTTCAGAGTGGGTGGAAACTGTCACAGGTTATCAGTGGGTAGGTAATAAATACAATAATTAAGTACAGCATTAGTCAAAGGGTAATTTTGTTCAAGTCATGTAAGATCAGTGGTTGCTCTTGATGGCTGTAGTTTTAAGTGACTAAAGGCTCATAACAAATACAGTTCTTGGTTATTCAGAGCAATATAAAAATATACAAAATTAACCAGACCCTTTTTCACACAATTTAAAACTTTACTTTGTTTGACTGTTTTTGTTCCAACACTTTCATTAAAATTCCATGTCTTTCAGAGCTGTGCATACATACATGAATAGGATCCCCAGCTTTCAGTCCCTGGCTAACAGAAGTGTCTTGTGGCTGTCACAAATCTATATGACAAACTTTGCATTATTCCTTAGCCTAGCACTGATTTACACACTCACAGATCTAAAATGTGTCTCACATTCATCACTGGATCTTTCCCTAAGCTTTTATGGATTTGTTTGTAATAATATTAGTCCAAAAATAGCCACAACAAACAAAAAACGTAATTTCGGTCAGAAAGATAATTATGTAAAAACTGCTAACTTTACTAGCTAGCTCTGCCTCGTGTGTCTCTTTGAGCCCCATATGCTAACTTATTGACAGATGGTCTCATGGTTGTGAAAGACGTTCACTTCCAAATGCAGCTATAGCGTTTAGCTGTGTCCATACCATTCCCCTGGATGCTTTCAGCTGCTTATCGGACCAGTTCTGAATAAAAGAGCCTGTGCAGGAGTCCAGAACCAAATCAAACAAGTTGCTGTCATGGCATAGGACCATGGATCCTTTTGGCCCCACTCCCACCATCGTTCTGCCTACCCAGAGCTCCCTCCTTTCCTTCCTGTTGTTTTGCATCTCCAAGCCACAGCATGAAGGGAGCTGATGAGTCTCCTTATAAGGGTTTTTTCTCCTTTCCTCCTCCCTCCCTTGTTTTCTCTGCATGATGGAAACTGAACAGTTCCCTGCACTTTGGGTCTTCCTCTGTTGGAGAAAGACAGAAAAGTTTGTCCTTCAGATGAGTAAATAGGAAACCCCAAGAACTTCTGCAGTGGCTCTTCTGATTCCTGGTGTCACTTTGAACAAGTACTGTTTTGTAGACCACATAGTCTTCAGTGGCCCCCCCCCCCCCTTTTTTTTTTTTTCATCTTTAATTGGCAGAAAACCAACAGCAGTTACTGTATCATTTTCTCAGGCTGTGAAAATGAAAGCAATGTTCATTAACCTAGAAAAGCAGCTGACAAGCTGGAAAAAACATCATTCTCTTTCCTTTCTTAGCTGGTACCTTCAGCACAGTAGGCAGAAAATGTTGGCCCTGATCCTGGTCAGTATTTCTTAAAGTTTTATACTGGCCCTGTTCCATTGCTTCCAGGGAAGTAATGTTTAATGCCTATCTAATATCATTTAATAATGATTTAAGTCCGTCCTTATTAAATTTATCTGACCATGTGTTAGATGCCTTCCTAGAAAGTTAAAGCTAAAACAGTTTTGAATTGCTTCCAATAAAAAGAATACAGTTGATTACACTTGAACATGTCTCTTATCTTCATACAGGTAATGCCAACTGTGCACTTTTTCTATAGTAGAGAGCTTTAGACATGAGGAGAAAATAAGGTTGTTCTACTACTCATGAAACTTAGTAAAGAATTACACACATCAAAAATATATTAGCATAGAATACCTCTGTTTTCAGCAGCCAAGTAGGGAGAATTTAAATTCAGGGATGACAAATTCCAGGTAGCACAATTAGCAGACAATTTTGAAATAAGTCTTAGTCTACCTGTCTTCTGCATCTCGTGTGACTGGAGAGTAAAAGCCTTGCTCTCTGGAATAATTGCATATGCTTACCTGCTGCCTTCCTGAGGAAAGCACTGTTCAACATCCACTGAAAGGGAGGCCATAGCAGATACTGTTTCTGTCTCCTCCCTCTCTCGTTTCTGAGACTCAGCCAGAGCACAATCCACTGGCACAGAATATGGCTCCACTGACTTCCAGTACTTGCCTAAGGAAAACATACATCATAATTTATGGGAATTTTAGCTAGCATGGTGGTTCAAGCATAGTAATCACTTAGTTCAACGTGGGGTGATTATAATTTTAAATCACTGCAGTGTAAGCAGCACAATTGAAATTTCAAACTGCAGCGAAGTATATTTCTGAACCTACAAATGCCAAGTTGGAAAGCGCTTTCATTCCAAGGGCTGTGTCACACCCTTCCCCAGAAGGTAATAAACTGGCGGAGTAACATGCAGCCTAATGAACTCATACTGTCAGACAGGCTATTGGCTTTATCTTCACAAGATAAAGGGAGTTCAGGGCAGGGTTAACACCTAGAAGCTCTGGTATTGCAGACAGCTGATGCATACACAATAAATAGGACTAGAAAAATGAACATTGTTTTACAACATGCTCACACAGCACTGTCTTGAAATGGAAAAAAAAGTCAGAAATGCCAGCTTGGACTGAAGTGATGTTGCCAGAACAATCAGGTTTGTTAGTCCTGGATGTTCTTTCTCCTCCACCCTCAGGGCGTATACTAGAACAATAATTCCTTTAAAATTTTCATATATGAACTGGCTGTTGCTGGAAAGCTGCCAGATATCATAAGGAATAGAGCTTTCTAGTTTGCAGTGCAAAAACACAGCAGTGGATTTAAAACACGAGCATCCTCATCTTTCAGCCTGCAACAGAAGAGACAGTAATTAGCTTCTCGAGTCACACCAACAGTAGTGGCAGGTGACTTATGGGCAACATAAAAAATGTCCCACTACTGCAGAGCTGTTAAGAAAAGGAGGACGATTAGTGGTGACCCAGTGAAAAGTAAGAATTTACATATGCATTTCTTACAACCCAGTAATCCACCAAGCACTCACTAATTGCCAGGTGGATGACACCTGGAAATGAGGAGCTTTGGGAAGGCTGGGAGCTCTGGACCAGTGCTTATGCAGTGTTTAGCAAGAAGCTTCCAGCAGCTGCTGCAGAGGTTGGGTCAGGGTACTTATCTGGGAATTAGACGGAGGGTTTCAACAGCTGTGAAAGACAGGGGATCAAGTAGGGGACTTTTCCAAGGGCTAAAAGGAGAATTTTGGCAGCTGGGCAGCAGGTTGAGGAGAGGTGCTTATCCGGAGGGTAGCTGGAGGCTTTGACAGCTGGGAGGCCAGACCAGTCAGTGGTGGTGCTGTCTGAGCTGCACAAAGGCTGCTGAAAACTCCCTCACTGGTAACATGGCTCTCAGCACTGTTTCAGGCTTTTTCAAAGATGAACTTTTCCCTCCAGTGAGAAAGCAGCTGTCAATAAAGCCTGAAAATGTCTTTATTCAAAAATATCATTGCAAGATGAAAGCCCAAGTCAATCTGCAAGAACAACCAGCGAGCATGGCCAGAGTGTTTCTTTGAACTCTAATAGTGTGCACGTTTGAGTAGTTAGCAGAATCTTTAAATAACAGGGACCTTCTGGGGATAAAATGTAAAGTGTATTAAGTATCCTACAAAGTTGAGATTAAGTGTTAGAAGGTTGGCTTTGCTCCAAAAGCATGAAAGACACAGCTAAAAAGTTATGTACATAGCAGTAAGCTCAGTGATTGGAGCCTGGCAAATTTTATAAAAACAAGACAAAAATATTCTCTATTATTACTGTGCTCAGAGACCATATTCTCTATTCATTAAAAAATACACTAAAAACAAACAAAAATTTATATGGGCATTCCACAATGTTCTCACAGATCATGTGTGCAAAAGTCAGTCTTTGCAATATACACCCAATTCAAACCCTATAATTTATGAGCTAAATGTTCACAGGGTGGGTGGGGTTTTTGTTGCAGAAACAGATGTGCAAGAAAATCAAATCTGTTGGCATGGGAATAATACCCCCTCTTGCCTATAAAAGAAATGAACCCATGTTCACTGCTGGAGTTTTCAAGGGCTCTTATTCATAAAATAAAATATTAGTAACCAGCTACCACTGTGCTGCTCTCCTGCAGCAACAATAAAACAGCATCAGTGAGGATTGCTACATCACATTCGTTCATTCACACACAGGCTCACACACCAGCTGCCCCCTGAATCCGGGCTTTCTTGTAACACTAAAACTCAGGGCCAAATCAAGCATATTAGCAGGCTCTCTGTGCCCATTTAACTGCCCTTCACTCCCAAGTGATCAGTGATTTTTCATGTTTCCCTGCATTGCAAATTGTGTTACAGAGACATTTCAGCGATAGCGAGGGATAGCAGAGTCTGGCTAGGAAGCAGGTGGCAGCACCTATGCTGCAGTGGAGGGTTTCGGAAAAGGGGAGTACATGGCAGGCTGTTTGTGGTTTGTGGGAGGAAATTTTAAAGCAGTTCCAATTAGGAATAGCATCCAGGTAGTAGCAGGTACATTGTGCAGGGCTTTCTGATGCTGGTGAAAAAGCACTGGTAGATTTTTCTTTAAAATCAGAAAGCTTATGCACACCTGTGGTAAGCAGAACAGCTTTGCAAGCTTTCCTTAACAAAGAACAACAAATATATAGTGTGCACAAAGCACACAGTGCTTGAATATGTTTTCAACCAAAAGATTTGCAGGCAAAGTCTTGTGGAACAGAGAGGCAATCACAGCTGCAAAGGAGCTTTGCTAGGAACCCCAGGTATGCTGTGGATTGACAATTAGATGAGCTTAAAGGAGACACATCTACCTCAAACTGCTCATATCTTTTAAAATGCTGTTTCCATTGTACTATGCTGGGATGTGGATTTCTACCAGTCCTGTTATATTCATTGATAACATTGTGGAGTACAGGGAAAAGAAGGGAGCATGCCACTGGTTTCATTCATACAGAACTCGAAGAGCAATCACTGTTTGCAAGAAGTAACAGTGAAACCAAATCAGTCTTCTAGATATGCTTTGGCTTTCAGCATGAATATGTGCTTAAGTCCTCCTCAAAGATTTGTGGGAGCACTGTTTGTAACCAGGAAATAATAAAAGTGAATGATTCTGTCCTGGTTACAAGCATTTGTAATTGCCTTTCACCAATAGCTTTGGATATGGTGTACCATAGCTTGCTTGAAAAATTTGTTTTGGGGGTTGTATTAAAGCTAATGAACAGGATTGTTTAGAAATACCATATTACAAGGGTGTGGGAACTACTACTTCCAAAAGTATTACATTTCCAAAAGAGCTTTAGATCACTGTCACAAACAAAACATTTATACAAATTCCATTCCACTTACAAAAAAAAAAAGTTTCCTTTCATTGTCTAAGTATTGCATCTTCAATATATATATATATTTTGTTTCAAAAAAATATATATATATATATATATTGAAACAAACACAAAAGAGGGACTTTTTTTTGGTCTAAAATATTGCTAATATTCATTAGCAATGTTAGATCACAGAAATAGGCCCAAGACACATGCAGTCATCTAGAAAAAGCAGGCTTTCTCACCATCTTTGCAGGTGTTCCTCCACCTGCACCACTTTCAGTCTGCATAACTATGTAACATTCAACATGTACTTGCTCCTCTCAATTCCATCTAATTATGCATCCTGCATAAAACTCACTAAACTTCCTCAATATTCCTTTCCTTCATCCACACACATTCCTTTCTAATACTCAGCCTCTCTCCAGACAAAATGACGCATACATAACTTTTTAGGTAATAGCTGGGAAACAAACAAACAAACAAGACCAAAAATCAAACAGACAAACAAAAATATTATGTACAAACAACTCCGAATCCTCAGCAGCCTGGCATAGGTTTCAGAAGTTCGTTGGACTGCCATGACTGTACTGGGTCTGCTCAAACCAAAGTTTGCTCTGAACAAGCAAAATTAAGCCATTCTGCTGAGCTCTGGACTGTGTTTTGGGACACACAACATACCCTTGTTCCTAAATCTCTTCCTTCTCTCTAAATGGCCATCATTGATGTGTAAGCATTGCTGGTAAAACACTATGCCTTTCTAGATCCAATATTATTTATTTTTTCCTCTCCATTTTTTGTCTGTTTCAGATTCATTTTTCATTAAGTACCTGTATTACATTTAAGCATGTATTGCATTTAACACATACATTAAATTCCAAACAGATTTAGATATTCTTTCCTGCCGTCTTTAAGCTCTCTGGTTCCTTGTGTGTAACTTTTAGTCCTTATTATCATTTGTAAATCAATACTATCTTGCACAGGATTTAAATTTCCTTACATTGCTGACTCCCACATTAACAGAGAACTTTAAGAAAGGCACTACCTCATAAGCTACCCTAGGACATACCACTGTATGTACATATGTATGTACATATACATGTGTGTATATATGTATACATGTATGTATGTACTTATACTAAAAATAACATACTGAAATTTTTCATATACAGCTGATTTACTTAGAGAACGTACATATCCGGTAACTACTAGATATGAAGGATGAATTATACATCTACAATAAATTTTCATCATCTCTAACGTCAGATTGAAAAGTACTGCATTATCAGTGGATAATGCATGATGTCCCTTTTAAAAGCTGCTTTTATTTTATAGAGATGACTCCCAATTATTTGTGATTAACCTAACATAATAAAAACATTTGTTATCTATTTGTTTTTTGTTAAGGAGCCAGCAAACAGTAGAAGCCAGGAAGCTCCTGCTGCCTTGGTAAAATGGCACAGAGCAGAAGACTAGAGAAATGAAGGGAGGTCTGCTTAGATGTATTAAGGCAACTGATGGCAAAGTGAAAAATCTTCTGTGAGGGCAGAGCAAAAGCCTCAAAGCATCTGATTAATAAAGGATTGGAAGCAAGGCGCACAAATGAAGCAAAGTATTGCCTGCACTAGAAATAGGATAAAATCACAACATATTTGTCACCATTGTTCCAGGGATCAGTGCCAATTTGAGCTTTTACATTTTATTTCAAATTCTTCTACACCTTAAAGTGAGTATCTTGTAAAGGACTACACAGATTGAAAGAAATATTTTTTAGAGTTCTGATTTACCTGTCTGTTCATATCCCTCACTAACAAACACCTATTTCATTTAAACTAATCTGGAATGGAGAGATTTGGGAATAGTCAAGCATCAGAAAGCTCTAAATAATTAAAGTGGCTTAATTCTTCAGAGATAAATACATAGTACAAACAAAGAGATGGCAAAGAAACAAAAGTGTGTATATATATACATATACACATACGAGACACAGCATGTGGGTTTATACATAAAAAGCTTGCCTGCTGTTTTCTGTGAAACACAGTTTAATTTCTATGACATTAATTAATAGTAAAGAAATACCCCAAACCCAACAACCCAAACTGAGGAACATACTTTGAATTTCAGTGGTCTTTTTTAAAGAAGCTATTGCATTCTTATTGGGGATTTGGTGCACAATATCTTCCGGGAGAGGCTCCAGCTGCAAGAATAGAATAGAATAATATAAATTTTCAATAAGACACAGGGAAGTAAAACAAACTGAAACAATCTAATCCTCAGGAAAAGCTCAGCCCAGGAACTGCTAACATTTTGCTGGTTAGAGTTCTGAAAGTATAGCCATGATTTTGTTTTCTGTTTTTCAGCCATGTAATTGAATTCCAAGGGGCTTTTCTATTGGCTGCAAGACTAATCTATCGAGTCTCTGAAGCAGGTGCATGTCTGTGTATTATTCATTAAAAAAATGCTAGTTATTTGTGTAATTTTTGTAGGTTCCTCACAAACCAAATTCCACTGCGTCTGTATACGCAGCTGGGTACTCCAAATAAAACCTTACTGAAGCCACACTGGAACTGAAGTGTGCACTCTATTATCTTCATTTTTCTGGTGTTATTGCATCTAACCATCTTACACATTTTAAGATTTTTAGAAGAAAAACATAAAACAGCTGTTTTTACTAGCTCTGCATTAATTTCAAATAAAGTAGGATATAAAAATATTTATGCAGATCAGCAGTAAAAGTTCTCTAAGTAAGTTTTTTTTTTAGAGCCAACTGCATTTTAATTAGCCAGTTTTAATTGTGTATTCTTTGCATAGGTCTGCATCATAATAAATTAGCAGAAGGATGTGTTGAGATACTACACATAATTATTTATTCCCTGCAATGAATATGAGCCAACCTTCACCACTTCCCATGGAGGAAAATTAGGTACCTAAATATTTTAAAAAGTGTCCCTGGACACTTTTGATATAGCCACCTTTTTAACACTTATTTTCCGTAACAATTGCCCACTCATTTTAAATCCCCATTTATGATCTGGAGGTAACAGTATTTTTCCATTTTACTCTGATACGTCAGTACATGGGGACATACTGTACTTTTCTTCTGCTCATAGGACGTGGATTAGTCCTAATTTGGATTTCAGATTTGCAAAAGATAAACGTATGATAGTATTTACTATTATTATCATCAGAAATTACTATACCCTATCAATTCATGGGGATGACAACCAAGTGAAAAACAACTGTATTTTGAAATTCATCTACTTGTGGTTTATATCCATATATTTTCTCCTAGAAAAAGGGTAAAGCATAGTTTGGGCTAAATGCCCCTTTTTGTGCTAAATCTTCAAACTAAGTTTTCCTTAAACTGTGTTTAGAGACCAGCCAACTTTACCACTTCCCCACACAGGCTGCTGGTGGTGGAGGTGTGCTTTCTGCAGAATCAGGAGTGCCAACCATGTCAAGGTGAACAAGAGTAATATCAACATCAATTTCTCTTCTCTAAAGCTAAGGAAGTTCAACCATCATTGATAGGAGACATCTGTACTGCAGACAAATCTCCCTTATTCAGCATGCCTGGGCCTACTTTAAACTAGGTCAAGTGAAGCCCACCCAAGCAGCTTCCCCTGTGAAGTAAATACTTCGGTAGCCATCACATATTGTCCTCGGTGTTGTTACTGCTGCATTGCTACCCACCAACTAGATAAAAACAGCTTTGATCCAAGCACACAAAGTAAGAAGCAACTGCTTCTTACTGCTTCTTTGCTGCATATATCCCCTTAGTGGTGCTATTTTAAGTAAGCTCAGCTACAAATCCCAGAACCTCTTCGATCCTACCAGTACGATCAGCAGTGAATGTCTGTCAGTGATAAAGACATAGCAAATATCACCAGACTTTTGGTGTCTCAGTACTAAAATGAATAGGCCTGTTCATGTCATTATTTCCTTAGAATCCCATATGGGATTGCAGCTGGAAGATTTCCTTGTGGCTAGAAACAATAGCACTATGTTTTGTTTTCAAATAGCATAAATCACTCCATTCTGCACAGTGAGCAAGTACGCAGAGAAGTGCTGGTAGAACCTGACTTGGTCCCAGCTCTACTCAGTTACTGAGAAGGCCAGACTGCAAAGGAAGATTGTTGCTATCTAATAGGCATCATGGATTAGAACCAAGAGAGCAATTACAATAAAAATCAGATTTACAGAAACATTTACACTTCATGATCTCCATAGATCACTCTATTTGAGTACTTGTAGGTTCCTGAAGTAAAGCTTCAGGATTTATTAAATTCAGCATTTATTAAAATGTCCACTAACAGCTCAAGCTTCACAGATTTTAGAATAAACACCGTTTTCTTATAATCCATATCTTGAGTTATGTAGGTAAATAGCACTTGCTTTTATCACTTGCTAGCTTCTTTTTAAAGCAATCTATCATTTGGCCCAGAAAAGGAAAAAGTCTTGAAGTTCTGTTTGGTTGTACTGGGTACAGGAACACAGAAGGAGAATTAAAGAGTAGCTTAGGGTTCTATTTTGACAATTTCCTAATTCCTAAGGTCTTGATGATCAATTCACTCCCTAGAAAGGAAATAATAGTTCCAGGCTGTAAAAGTTCCAGTGCTGGAGTATGAGGTCTGAAATGGCCAAAATGAAAGATTTCAAAGCTGTGTCTTGCTTTTCTCTTTGAGCACCTTGAGATTCTTTCTGCAGAAAGAATTGTACTAAATTCTCTTGTACTAAATAGCAAGCTAGGAGCAAGCAACGTAGACATAGATAAAAGACATTTCCTATTAAAAAGATTTTTTTTTTGCCTTCTTCACAGATTCTTTCAGGATCCAAAAAATTGTCTTGATTTTTCTTAATATATCAATTACACCTCTGTTCAACAGTACAGAAGTAAATTGTTTAACATGTAGAATGCATTTGAGTATCTAGACATACCAGACCAATATTTAGAAATGGCAAATCTGTTTTCAGAAATCAGAATACACTGATGAATCACTAAAGACAAGATGAAAAAGGGCCAAATTTCCAACAATTATTATTAAAATCATTATCCTATCTATTAGCTCTACTAACAGATCTGTAGGTGATGTGAGTATAATAGTTTTGTTTGATCATTTGCTTAACTTCTTTTTCCACAACACTTTCCTGTCATATTCAAAACTCATCTTCTGCTCCACAGCTATTCTGCCTCCTAACCTTAAGGATAACTGGACAGGACTTGGATCCTCTTCCATATCAGGGAAACATTAGGTTCCAGAAGTAAGTTTATTATATCATATATCCTGTTCAGTCCAAATGCAGTACTGTTACAAAAACACTGTAGAAATAAAGCCAGTGGCTTATGGCAGCTATTTCTATACACTTTGAAATGAGACTGTCTGCATTTGAAAGTCCAATTTCTGTTGGCAGCTATTCACTGGTTGGATAGAACTGTACAGACATAGCGGTGACCCTGGAAAATATCAACAGTTAGACCCAACAGTGAACAAAAGCAATTACTCTACACCTGGCATATATGGCACCATCACCTTCCCTCCTACACTTACTGGCATTCAGATCATGAAGTCTATTAAATCTGGAGGCTAGCAGAATGGAAGCTGAAAAGAGCACTGGAAATATATTGTTAGGAAAGAAATCTTTCAGAGAAGAACAGCTCAAGTCAGTGCAGAAATAACCAAACCACTGGAGAGACAGTTTGGACCAGACACAAAGGGTCATATTTTCAAAGCTTTTACATGGCTGAATCAGGCTTTTGTGCCCAAAGCAGCAGATGAAAGTAGAAACTGTATTTGCTAATCATTTTCAAAGTAGGAAAAACAATGTAAATGGGCAAAAATCACTTGGGTCGCCAAAGTCTGCCAGAGGCATATCAACAGATATTTGAAGATGAAAATAAAGATTGAAATTGCATTCGCCCAGGAGGTGATCTGAAACGATCCTTGGGAATGTGGGGAGAATCTGAAACTACAGCAGTCTGTACTGAGCGGGACTATCTAGCCGTATCTGCATAGTCTTAGCCCTGTCATGTTTTAAAGCACGAAGATTAGCTTCAGAGAAGATTGTTGCAGCATGGTAAGGAGCATGGAGAGTCCTGACAGGCACAGAGGAAGGGAAGAAGGCAGGCAAGATTCACAGGGATGCCTAGGCTGCAGATGGAAGTGCTACAACCTTCCTTTCCCATGTTTACTGTGCTAGAAGCATACCAGCGCAAAGATTGGGCTTTGTTGTTCTAAGTCTTGCCATGATTACAGAGGACTAAGTTCAAATATCTCACAGGTCCTCTTGGCCTCTACATTCTTATATTAGTGATCTTCTCAAAGTTTCTGCACTTTCTGATTTTATATAAAAACATTTTAGGGAGGTATTTTTGTGATCCACAGTGTTACAGTGTTGTACATAAATGACAGTTTTCCCTAGGAAATAGGTTCAGAAGCCTGAAGGGTTATTAGCAACTACCTGTTCCTGAAAACTAAGGCATGCCTTGCCTTGGAAATATGTACATTTGAACTAGGAATATTCTGCTCCCTCAGCCAAATGGCTTCCTGAGTAGTACTGCTCTTTTTGTGGACTTTGATGCCACCATGCTGACCTCTGGCATGTACCTCGCTCCACTTTCCTTTCCCATCTAATTTTCTATTTTTGGGCCAATTTCTGAGCTCCATGCTTATGCAAGCAGCAGTTGACAGGTGGCTTAGACTCAGTGTTAATTATTTTCTAGTGTTAGAATTAGATTAAGAACAAGGATGTAAGATTGTGACCAAGTTTACCATGCAATTTTAAACTGATCTCAGGCCATATTCACTTACATGAATATTTCCATTTTGGAGAGAGAAATGCTTACCTGTTCTGGCAAATAACCCCTTTTTAACACAGTCCAGGCCCTCTTGGCAGAGCTTGTTGCCTAGCTGGCAAGCAGCCCCAGATTCACACTGAATTCCACAAAGGAGAAAATGCCAACTTTTCATCATCAGCAGGAAAGCTGCAGAGTACAAGCTTTCCACTTAAATTACCATCCCCTCCTAAATGCCAGCTCAACAGATTGCAAGAAAGAAGCACATACTTCACACTCTGCAAGAAAATTGTCCAGTATAAGATTTTAAGCATGCTTGGGAGCCAACCAATCACAATGTTTTGTCAATTCTGCTTCAGACTGAAATTCAAGCCAGAAGAATATTTACTAGAAGATGTTAAATTTAGTCACTTAAAAATGTTTTTGCACTCGGGGCCAAATTCAGCCTTGGCCGCCACAGTCAATGAGAGCAGACATGCATCCCCTGTGTGCCTTTGTTGCAGGGTCCCGCTGGGCAGAGCACACTGTGGACTGCACTTTACCATTTCCTCTGTGCAGAGGAGAATATGACCCCATCTGTGACCAATTATCACTTGTTATAGACCACAGAAAAAAAACGCTGTACCCTGTAGAGCTTAAGAGTCTTTGCCCAAACCTGTAGACAGATCAGAGGGCCCAGGATGTTAGACTGGCTTCTGTGTCCCATGGAAATGCCTCGCCTGGCTTCTTGACATGGGATGAGATGAAGGAAGAACTAAATCATTAGGCTTTGACCTGAAGAGCTTTGTGCTTGGAGGAATCCTTCCTCATTCTCTCTGGCTGCCAAAGAACCCCCAAAGTTAATGTAGTTATGCTGGAAATAAGCTGCAGGATTCAGAATACTGAACTCAAGGAGAGCTTATCCCGGAGGGCTTTTCAAATCACAGTAGTGCCTCTTCAAAAGTAATGTAGAGGAAAGAAAACAACTTATCTTTGCACATTTGCAGCAGCCTTACCACATGTCACGAAAAGGGATAGATCTGGGGGAAAATCTGGATATTGAAACCCATTTTGACATATTTCTTGGAATAAAATACAAATACATTTAATTGATTTCTTACTTGATATGTATATATATATGCTTTAAAGATAAGTACTTGAAATTATATAACCTATCTGTGAAAACCTGCAGAACTGTTTAAAGATTAAAGATTGTCTTAATAAATAAGAGATCTGAACTTTAAACACAAGACTGTAACTCAGAATAAGTTCAGGTTTAAAAGAAATGTCTGTTTTCTAATTATCTGAATCTAGCATGTCCTTTGTTTTGACAGATGCTCATTTAATGGAGAAGTTTTTAAATCATGTTCAGAAATCTCAGGGACATTTTAAAGCAACTTATGCTTACCCTGCGTTTTACCTTCCAGAAGAATTTCCATGTTTTTATTTTGGATTTCAAAGAATCCAGCTGCTTAATCTCTTCCCACCTCTTGGGAAGATTTCCTTCCAAGAAGATAACCTACAGTGCTCCTAATTAGCTCTGCAAATGGTCAAACAGATTTTTCTCAATGAGACATGGAAATTTGTACACGGATATAAGGACCACAAACCTGAGATCTCCAGATCTTTATTTAAATATATATATATAAAATTTCTAATGAATAAATTTGTCTTTATAAAAGGTATCTTTGCATTTATCTCTATATTTTCTATTTTATTTTTCTCATTATTTAAGTGGGTAATGAGCTGTCCAAACACAACCAAACTAAATGGAGCCATTTCAGATATTATGGGGTGTTCTGCCTGATCTCATGGTACCACAGAGAACAGGTGTGGGTCTCCTCTACATTCTATGTTACTTCAACCAGTCCTTGCAAATGTCCTAGGTACCCCTACAGCATCTGAAAAGGGACTGGGTGCCTATGTTTAGGGAATAGTATTGGGGTTTAGAAATACACAATTACCAATATAAATACCTCCAATCAGTAAAAAATACAGTTATAATCCTACGTAGTTTTCTGTTCAATTTTGAAATTGCTGTTCAAAAGGACTTCTGCAGAGAAGTTCAGAAGTATTCACCACACATAGATGGGGCTGAAAGCTCATTTAAATTCTGAGCTCTTCCAAGAAAAAGAGACTTTTTAATAGTTTTTTTGGTTAGTCTTCAAAATCAACAACTGCATGCAGGAATTTCCTGTGCCATGCTCAAATTATTTAAAGAAGATTAACTTGATAGTGTATTCTTTTTGTAGTGACTCCACTTGCATTTGTTAAGAGATGAGTAAAAAGTTATCTTGCTAAACAGATCTCTGACCTATAGGCTACATATAACTAAGAACAAAGTATGTCTATTTTGGGTGTCAAACTGTTTTCCTTCTTAATGCAAAGCTCGCATGAAAGCTAGAAGTTGCTACTAATTTAACAATTCTTACAATTCTTTTTTTTTTTTTTTTTTTTTGGTATGTTATTCTGCTGGTAATAGAACATATGAAGCCACAGATTCTTGTATTGACAAGTCCTGTCCAAAAACAACAACAACAAAAAAAAGCTTTCAAAAACTGCAAAATATTTATGAATTCTAATCCTCAGCACATGAACAAATACATTTGACAAACTGCAGATTACCTTACAAAGGACTTTCCCAACCTTTTCAATTTGAGTTCAATTACATATGTAGTGTTTAAAAACTGAAGTTCATCTTGCCAACATTTTAAAACTAGAATACACCATTATTTGTAAAAGTGAAGGGCAGATAATAAGTTATAATTATCCTATTAATCACCTGTAAAGAATTGCATTCAAGGAAGAATTCGTCCTCAAATTACAATAATTGGTTATTAGAAGAAAAACATTTTTTTTTCCTGCCTTTGGCAGGAATACACTTGTAGTTTGCTGTGCAAGTTCATGACTAGTACGCTGAAATCAAGCAGTGTACATGCTATAGGCCATGTGGTGTAGATTGCCATAAATCTGTATACGTCAACAGACGTGCTGACTTCTAACTGCTAACTCAGTATCAGACTTCCTCATTAATGTCTGCTCCTCGGCAACACCTTTACTTATTCTTTTAAGCAAACATCAGTTTCTTATGGTAGTACTGGTAATGACATCCCCTCTGGAGTATTTTTGTCTTCTCAGCAGCCACAGTGTATTTTCTCTTTGAAATTCTGCTGCACCAGACCATTTAATGCATGTCCCTGAGGACGCAGCTGTGAGTAAGAGCACATGAGAATAATGCTTATTGCATGAGATGTTTCAAGTTATTAATGATCATGTTCTTTTATAAGTGGATTATAAATGGCAGTGTGGTTATGTTTGTCTTCAATCTGTTCCTACATTTTTGTCTCTCTTAAAATTTGCTTTGCTATATTTTGCAAACAGATAGATTCATAAATTATCTAATTTCCAAGTCCCTGCTTACTCTAAAAGAAAACAGAAGAAAGTTTCTATTTCAGTCCACTTATCCCATTCCTTTTCTGGCAGTCAGTACTAGATAATGGCTGGTCAGTAACAGCAGAAATGGTAGTTGGGTGTGATACAGTGTTAAAACAAAACAAAGCATTTTGCATAAATGGGTAGCACCACCAAATGGTCATAACTGGATAGAGGGACCCAGGCATCTACAGAGTAAGATACATCATATCATCAGCATTGTATTATTAGCATTAGTCCCATAAAGGTGCAAATTTCAGAGAGTGGGTTTAGACGAGCTACGAAAATCCACTGACATACTACCACAGGGAAAGTCACAACAGAATACGAATGAGTATTTTGAATGCCCTGGAAAGCACTCACTGGGAAGGCAACACTGCATTCACTAAGATTGTCAAATACTTCAAGCTAGGTTTTCATATTTCAGCATCTAAATAAAAGGACTAGCACTGAGCTAAGCATCAGTTTCAATAGTACACGTCACAAGACTGGAATACGCTTCTTATGGGTCTTGTCAAAGGTAACAGAAGATAAAGCCCAGATGAAAGATTATTATTTTTTTTTTGTATGGACATGTCTACTTCTGGATATTTCTGAGAATACTGTTGAGAAAGCTATCACTAGATTCATTCTATGTATAATCTAATAAACAATAAGCATTTTTTTATTGATGGGTCATAAAGATAAAAAGCAAAGGTTAAAAAGAACATTTAGTAAAGCCTTCTATCCAATTTCCATCAGAGGATACATTTACTTCACATTATTCTCATAGGTATGAAGACTTAAGTGGAAGGGAATGAACAGACTAGCTTTCAATTTAGCACTAACACACTTGATTGGTGAAATTATTTAGCTATTACCATTTCCCCTGGGGAGAAATGGTAACGCACTGAACTTTATAACAAGATCTCACAAAATTCACAGTTTATGGTAAAAATTTCAGTCCTTTCATAAATGACTTTGTCTGCACCTTCAGCAAGCTTATCTTCCTTCTCACTGTATTTATAGGAGAAAAGATATTTTCTATACAACAGAACCAATTTTCACAGACAAGCGATTATCTAGTTCTTGTTTACATAACTAATATGTACTCATGTTTAGTTAGGCTGTCAGTCCACTCTCAAAACTTTTTTCATAATATATACAGTGTTTTATATGGGCAAATTGGACATTCCATTTAAACTGCATACAGACCAACATGAATCTTCATTTCTAACTTGAATTTTTTTTTTTTTTGAAGTCTTGGACACTTTTTTATTAATGTTTTTCAATTTCAGGAACCTCTGATTTATTTTTTTTTCTTCCACTCACCAGTAGAAGCAGTGTCAAAATACTGAAAAAAAAAAGTCATTGCAATATCCAATCTTTAAGATTATCAGATACCTTGAAAAAGCCTTTTTTTTTTTTCTTTTTTTTTTTTTTTTTTTTTTTTTTTCCCATGATAACTGGCTGGAAGGTCTGATCCTAATAAATGATATACTCATGTCTACCAGTTAGTCAAGCGTGTTATTTAGTACATCACCATATGCAAATTCTGAAGTATTAAATCTCACTCAGAACTGGGAATAACTTAGGAAAACACTAAATGATCCATATAATAATATTATTTAGAGATATTTATCCAAACCAAAGCATGCTTTTAGCTCATCTGAGATGTGTTCAAAATGCTTGTTTTTTATACCCAAAGAAAAAAGGTCTGCTGCCTTTGTTACTAAAAGAAAATCAAAGATAGGAGTTTCAGCAAACTTGGATCATTCTCTCCACCTATTATGATTTATGTTTTACCTCATTTCCTAAAAGGGCGTTTATGCAGGCTTCAGATGCATCACAGATGGCAGTAAGGTCATGTCCTCCCTCCAGTGCCAGCACAACACGGCCATCCGCTAACTTCAGCAATTGCTTGGTTAGGTGACCAAAACCTATTATTAAAATACAGTAGTGAAAATAATTAAAGCAGAACAGATATTACTGGCATATTTCACATCTGCTGTGTAAGAATGTAGAAAGCTCAAAGATATTGCACAGGGTGCATGGGATATATTTAGTCCAGTATCCTGTTTCTGACTATGGCCCACACCAGATGCTTTGGAGTTAGGTATATGGAATTTTGTATGAGGCAGATGTGAGATAATGTCCCTCATGCTGATCCTTAATAGCTGGAGATTAGTTGAAACATGAGGTTGTCTCTCCCTTTGTAACATCATTAACCATTGTCACTCCGGATTCTCGTCTCATTTGCACATCAATGTAACAAATAACCATGTTATTTAGATTTAGATAACGTGACCCTGTTCGGTCATGTCATTGATATGACAAATAACTTTTGTAGTTAAGCTATTACATTATAGTTAAAAATAATTGTATTTTTCAAATGAGATAATGATTTTTTTGTTTACAGCTTGCTTCTTTGTATTTGGTCTTTGAGTTGTGGAGTGAAAAATAGTGGAAACATGTCATATCTTAGCTCCATTTTGTAAGTGTTTTTGGAAACATCACTAACAACTGGATCACTTTTTTGATTCAAAGTTTTGGTATAAGATGAAACTGCCCAGCATATCTCTACCAGTGTTGCTCGCTACTGCCCCACAATGTTCTAAGCAATTCTGCATCACAGTCAAAAATGATGGTACTCTATTTTCAATGGTGATCTATAACTACAAAAATATTGCCACAAAGTTTTCATCTGTGATTCAAGTAAAAATAATTTATTTGACTTTTAACAACAAAACAAATTACATGAACAAATGTTAATTTGTAGAGAAGAGATATTTCAAGTTTTGTGCTGGTTTCCCAGAACAGCTGTTGTTTGTTTTTGTTACTCACTCCTTTAAGTGAGAAATGATAAATAAAGCTTTGAAACTACTGAAGTTAAATACCCGTCACATGTTCTTAACTGTTCTACTTGGCCTGATTTAGTTGCTCTACTGATGGCCATCACAACTCATTCCAGTGCATTTCATAGTCTTAAATAAAGCACTTTGAAAATACCTGCTAAAGTCTGGGGTTCTTTAAAGACAGGAAAATCACCACCTTTTTTTCATGTTCTAGTGAAGAAGGTCACCACATATTCAAAAATACAAAAAATTACAAGCATATTTTCCAAAGAAATTTTCCAGGACAAACAAGGCTTGATCTGGCAAACAATAAATGCACAACTAGTTCAATTTACATCTTAGGACTCTGTTAAGCATGAAGACAACTGTTTTTAGAACAGGAACTTTAATAATACCAGATTTAGTTTAGTTATTCTGGCAAAAAGAGAAAGAGAAGGAAAAAGGAAAAAAAAAAAAGAAAGAAAAAAAAAAAGGAAAAGGAAAAGGAAAAGGAAAAGGAAAAGGAAAAGAAAAAGAAAAAGAGGAAAAGAGGAAAAAAAGAGAAAGAAACAAGAACAAAAAAGAAAAAAGAAAGAGAAGAATAAAAAGAAAAAAAAAAGAAAAAGAAAAAAAATAGAGAAAGATCTACTTGTCACTTAATCTATAGCTGATCACAGAACACTTAGGGTGAAATATTGTTTCCTTAAACCACTCCACAATCTTCTGTACCCTCTAAGAACTGTGGTTTTGATTCTAGCAAAGTAACTACACCATGGTTCAAATTACATACAGGGTTGAAAAACAAATAAAATCTTAAACTCTCATTTAAGCTCAACCTTTCTTCATGAAAAAAAACAAAGCCTCTCTACAAAAGACTGAATTTAGACAGGATAATAAAAGTGAAGGAAGGAATGGAATGAGGATAACCTTTGATCTTTAGCCAATTTCTACTTTCTTTTACCTACAGGATTTATTTCTGTCTGCATGTTACACATGTGATCTTCAGATTCATAACAAGAGAGTGCCAGCAGCATAAAGTGAGTCGTACATACAGCATTTAAAGGAAATGAAGTATGAACAGGCACAGACTCCCCACATCTACAAACGCTACAACCCACTCCTAGGCTCTGTGAGAAATCCAACAGCACTTCTAAGCACTGTCATCCTCACATTACAGCTTCTGTGAAAAACGGAAAGATCTTCCCTATTTTCCCCGCACATTTTGAAAATATTATGTGACTAAATGCTGCTGCAGCCACACCATAATTTTTTGGATTATGTGTGGCAATAAATGTAAAGACCATCTCAATGGCTTTTTCTTCTTTTAGACAACCATACAAAATATATCTCATAGCCATTGTAATGTTAATTTGACTTCTTGCTTTCCTAATAATTTTCCTAGTATCAATGCTATAATAATCATTACTGGCTGAGAGGGGATATATGCAATGAGCCACATAGAAAGTATCTTTCCCAACGCAAATCACAGTAACAAAAAAAAAATAAAAAAAAAAATGCTGCCAAACCAAATCAACATGATGGGGTCTTTTCTTCAGTATATATACCCCAAGACAGTAAAGGTGTCTTCCTAGGAAGGGAGGAAATAACTTTAGCCAACAATACCAATGGTGCCTGAGACTGAATGAGTTATGGAAAGTCTTAACAAAGAAACTTGGATCCTGTGTCACTGCAGCAACCTAGGAAAGATATTAGCTTCCTCAAGGAAATCCCCTGGAGCACAGCAGTAACAAAATGGAAAGAAAGGAATCCCAGTCAAGTAATAGTTTTAAGATGGACTATAGTTCATGCCAAATAATTAAGGAAAACAAGAAGAAAATAGTAACAACAACCATGAAAAGAAGCAGTCATCTCCCCTGATATAAGGAGACTAAGCACATATTTGACACCCCACTGAACAATTTTCAGGCAAAAAAGGAATAAGACAAACATGCAGTATCTATCCCAGCTCTTCCAATTCACATGTATTTCTAGAAATCAGCAGAAATTCTTGGCCCTTCTACTCTGCCTGCTGACAAAGGTGCCAGCTGTAATGCTAGCTTTAATGCTGGCATTTCAGTTTGGATTTGCCACATTCTAAAGTGTATGGGTTTACTCTAATGCATAAGAATTATAGATCAGTGGAGTTTTATAAAAACATACAAAGATTCAGATATAAAGTGGAAAGTCATGTTAAAACACTTGATTTTCAGTCCAGCCTGAAATGGGCATCCCTTCTTTGGGGCTGCAATTTGTCCACACGGCTGCCTTTGGGCCATTTACAATCTGAGTACTGTCTTAATGACAGACACCTACCACTCAGGGTTTGAAATAGCCTTAGGAGCATCCACAGTTATTTGTGTCCATGAGCATCAGTACAAATGTCACATTATTTTAAAAATATATATCGTATTTCCAATCGTTTCAGTCAATAAGTGAGAAAATATACATACAGGGGTATTTTTCAAATTCTTACTGTAAATGTGCTTAGTGATATTGTACTTCAGAGAAATAGCACTTCTTTTTTTTTTTTTTTTTTTTTTTTTTACAGTTATGCTCTTGCAGTGCACCAGAAAATTGTAAGGTTTTGTGCCAACATTTATTTTCAGGTATGTTTTTTATAATTTAAATATTAAAAATTCCTGTTTCCTTTGCATATATTTATTCATCCAAGGTAGAATTTGCAAAAGCACTTAATATTGACTTGCTATGATCCTTGTAAATACAGTGAAAAAACTCTGATTTACAAAAAAAAAAAAAAAAAAATCACTATTCTGAATGTTCTATATGAACTATTTCTGAAAATCTCACTCACCAGTTGTTTTGCCTTTTGCTGACAAAAAAGTAGCATGTATGAAAAACTGTACACCTAAGCAAAAAATGAAGAGCAGATTAAAACTGAAATAATTATAAGATACTACCTAAATATGAAGAGGAGAAGATGCTGCAAGATCCTCGTGGAACAATGCAGTTGTGTGTATTATATACAGAAGAATAAAAAAAAAAAAAATCCAGAAAAAATATTTTAAAATATCTGGATACTTTACAGTACTAACAAATTTACTAATGTGCCAATTTTATGATAATCTTTGAGAAATAATGCTATTAATGTTTTGCTTTCTGAGTTCTTATTTACCAACTTGATACAATTTTCCAAGAGCCTGATTTGCTGTTCACTTTTCTTCTATGTTCCCTGAATCTGTGTAATTGTGGCAGCAGCCAACACTCTAATCATGGTTACAAACTGCATCAATCATCTAAGTACCATGTTGCATTCAAATAATGCATTAACAGACATGTACTCATAAACTTTGAGTAGCATAACTAAATTATTTTACTGCAGATTGCAAATCATGAATTTTACTTTCTAGTGGACAACTTGAATGTTTGTGTTATTGGGCATTGTTATGCATTAGAGAATTACACAATATATGAGCTGTTATCTACTGACCTTTGAAGTGAAAATACAAACTTTTAAAACAAAAACATAACAAGTATTCTTCAATTATACCCTTTCCCCTCCTCCAGTGTTATTACTGGAGGAAATACAATACTCAGCCTCATGTTATAACATGTTCTATTGTGGGAAGGCAGAAAGAGAGAAAATTAATGCTGTATTATACTAATGAACAAGCTGCCAGGCTGTTGTTGGAGGACACAGTGTGCTGCTCACTTGAATTACCATTTAATCAAGTAAGTCAGCTTTTAGTGGACTGTCTGATGTCCCAGTTTAGCACTGAGTTCTGTTTTTGTTGGTTGTGTTTTTATTTATTTATTTATTTCCTTTTGTAACAGACAGCCTCCCCTCGTGCTCCCTCTAGTTTTGCAAACAGCAAGGAATGATTGGTGACACTTCTGCTTCATTTGACCAAAGTGGCTGGAGCACCAATATTCTACCTAGACTTATTGAAAACCAATAAAATACATTAAAACCTATAAAAAGAGAACCAGGAAGTATTTCAATTTTCTATTTTTGCTTTCGGGGTATGCTTACCCTGACGACCTGAAAGTGGCAAAGAGCAAGTAAAACACCTTTGACCCATGCCAGTCCCCTTCAATCACAAAACTTTGTTGTGTAGTACAGGTAGATGAGGTAAAGCTAACAAATC